CCTCCCTCCTCTCCTCGTAGACTCCTGAGGCGTGCCGACAGGCCCGGAGCTACCTTGAGTTTTCGGAGGACTCCGTGCAGGTGCCCAGGAACCTTGTTGGTGAGTTGCGGGTGTGTACGCATAGGAGAGAGTACGGCAGGGGCGGGGGGTAGGTGTGAGATCCCCTAAAGCTGTTCTGGGCTCGGCAGCCCCCCGGGGACGTCCAGTTTCATGAGGACGGAGCAGTCTGTCGGGAGAGTGACAAAAATGGAAGAACAGATTTCTCTGGATTGTAGTATTTTGTCCTGAGAACTCACCAGAAACTTAGAAGCAAGAGAATAATTAAACAGAATCCATATATAGGAGGTGGAAGACTTTATCTTACCTGTTTTTACTCTTAAAAAAGAAAAGCCTAATTTCTCCTTTATCCATTCAGGCAAAGTGATTGGAAAGAACGGGAAAGTGATCCAGGAGATTGTGGATAAATCTGGTGTGGTGAGGGTTCGAGTAGAAGGTGATAATGACAAGAAGAACCCCAGGGAGGAGGTATGGGGCAGCTGCATCTAGAGACTGGTTTCCAGAAGCAGATGGCATTGTTCTCTTGTTCTTCTCTGGGGGCTGGGATTTCTAGAGGACGGAGGATGGGGATTCCTGGTGGGTGGGGGACGGGAACTTCTGTGTCCCCCTAGTAATGCAGAGCCCAGAATGAGCCGGCTGGGTGAGCTTCCATAGGAGACAGGGTGGAGTTGGTGCTTGCCTTGACTCTCCTGCTAACCCCTCCATCCTCTCTGCTCTGCAGGGGATGGTTCCTTTCATATTCGTGGGTACCCGGGAGAGTATTAGCAACGCCCAGGCCCTGCTGGAATACCACCTCTCCTACCTGCAGGTACCCAGGCCGGAAGCCAGGGAGGGGAAGGGTCTGGGTGTAAGCACGGAGGCTGAGACTGCTGGCGGGTGAAGTTAGGAGCCGTGGTGCCCAGTTTGAGGAGAACGGAAACCACGGAGTGGAGATTTGGGGCTGTGGGGTTGGATCCCATAATGTTCCTCGTTTAGCCAGTGTCTTTCTCCCGTTCCTGAGAGTTGAGGTCGCTAGGGATGGTCAGGGCCTAGAAGCCCGGGTGAGGGAGGAGTGTTTGTGGATCTAGTCACTCCTCCTTCGGTACCTCTCTCCATCTTCTGCCCAACCAGGAGGTGGAGCAGCTTCGCTTGGAGAGGCTGCAGATTGATGAGCAGCTTCGGCAGATAGGGCTGGGCTTCCGCCCTCCCGGGAGTGGGCGGGGCAGCGGTGGCAGCGACAAGGCCGGATACACCACGGACGAGAGCTCCTCGTCCTCCCTCCACGCTACGCGAACCTACGGGGGCAGCTATGGGGGCCGAGGCCGGGGCCGGAGGACAGGCGGTCCCGCCTATGGTAAGACAGCCGTGGGCCTTGTGGGGAGAGGTACAGGCCTGGGTGGAATCTCGAGGAAAGGGTGACAGCCACGTTGAAGGTGGGACTGGCTGGGGGATGGATCCTCGGGTGGGGTGAGTGACCCGGAATGAAGCCCACCGTGTCCTTCAGGCCCCAGCTCGGACCCATCCACAGCTTCTGAGACCGAGTCAGAGAAGAGGGAGGAGCCCAACCGAGCTGGGCCAGGTGACCGGGATCCCCCAACCCGGGGGGAAGAAAGCCGGAGGCGGCCAATTGGGGGCCGGGGTAGGGGACCCCCACCTGCCCCCCGGCCCACCACGAGGTACAACGCTTCATCTATCAGCTCAGGTACCTGTTGTCAGACGGCTGGGTTTGTGGACGCAGGCCAAAAGGAAGGATGATGGACGCCCGATAACCACCTTCTCTTCCTCTGACCAGTGCTGAAAGATCCAGACAGTAATCCCTATAGCCTACTGGACACATCTGAACCAGAGCCCCCAGTTGACTCAGAGCCTGGGGAACCCCCCCCAGCAAGTGCCAGGCGCCGCCGCTCCCGCCGCCGCCGCACAGATGAGGACCGGACTGTCATGGATGGAGGCCTGGAATCTGATGGGCCCAGCATGACAGAGAACGGTCTGGGTAAGGGCTGTGGCTGGGGCCTGAAAAGGTAGAGCTGGGCAGGAATTGAGGTACGAGGGAGTAGATGCACCACTTGGGTTTTCTGTGTCCCACAGAAGATGAGTCGAGACCCCAGCGTCGGAACCGGAGCCGCCGCCGCCGTAATCGTGGGAACCGGACAGATGGTTCCATCAGTGGAGACCGTCAGCCAGGTCAGCGAACACTGGGTGCCAGCATCCTTCCCCCACAGTTGAGAGAACGGGGTGCCTCTTGCCGGGGGTTGGGGCTTGGTGTGTGTCCAGGAGCTGGATACCCGCTTCCTTCTGAAACTCTCGGTCCTCTGCCTCGCGCAGTGACCGTGGCGGACTATATCTCCCGAGCCGAGTCGCAGAGCCGCCAGCGGCCCCCCCTGGAATGCACTAAAGCCTCAGAGGACTCTCTTCCAGGACAGAAGGTAGGCAGGCGGGGTGTCATTTACCCCACCGCGATTCCTCCTGGGCCGGGGGGTGCAGGGGATTTGCAGAGGAGCCTGTGTCCGAAGGAGTTTAGGCGGCGTGTGGAATAGAGAAGGTTTGGCTTGGACAGGGAAGTTCGCTTCGGACGTTCCGGGTGCCTGTAAGAGTGCCTAGAGCGGCCCGCCGGCCGCCAGGAGCTCTAGTATGGCGGGGGGATGGCATTACCTGGATTTCTGCTGACCGGCTTGCTTCCTTTCTCTCCCGTTTTTCTTTCCCACTTCCCCTCAGGGCGACTCTGTCAGCAAGCTTCCTAAGGGCCCCTCAGAGAATGGGGAGCTCTCCGCCCCCTTGGAGTTGGGTAGTTTGATGAACGGGGTTTCATAAAACCTCCAGCCCGCATCCCTCCCTTCTCCATCTCGCTTGCTGCCCAACACCATGGCCCTCCCAGGCCCGACTGACCTGCGCTGGAGCTGCTCTTATCTAGGGGGGAGGGGGGGTGGCACAGCAGCTTGGGTCCCCCCTCAACCTCCAGGAGCTAGTGGAGGGGTGTGTAACAGGGTCATACCCCCTCCCTCTTGTCCGCCCTTCCCCCAGGGTGAGGGGAGCCTCTCTCCTTTCCCATCAGACTGGATGTGCCTTTATCCTCTAATGCCCCGATCTCTCTGAACACCCCCATTCTCCGCCTGCTGGTGCGGGGTGCTCCTTGACCCACCCAGATTTGACAGTTCAGGGGGGCTCCCCTGCTATCCCTCCTCCCATCCTGTACCCCCCATTTCTGGGGCCTCATCACTGTGGAAGACGGGGATAGTAAGGGTATAAGTGGGTGGGAGGCATGGGGAAGGTTTTGGAGTAGAACCAGGGGTGTGTATGAAGGGGGGTGACAAGGTCCCCCGGGGGAGGGGGGGACCAACCTTGTCTGGTGGATGAGAAGGCGTATTTATTTTTCACTGTACAGTATTTAAAAAGAGAATAAAAAAATCCAAATGGCTCTGTGGTTCCTGCACCTTCGTTGTCCCCAGTTCGGTCCAGCGGTTTCTCTAGGATCGACCTGTCTGGGCCTTGTTCCCTGTTTCTCCCCACCTGGCTTCTCTGGTGTTCCAAAGATTGTCCACTTCTGGGAATTCCTGGCATTCCTGTGTTCCCCGATCCAGGGCCCTTTCTAGTCCGGAGGCCAGTGGCTTGTGGCCTGTGGCTCGCTGCCTCTCCCCTCCCCCAGGTGTGCCGGCAGAGGGAGCGGGGCCCCTCCTCTCCCCCTGAGTCACCGCGGGCTAGGTAGGGCTGCTCCAGGGCTGCCCCGAGCCAGAGCCGTTCCTGCTCAGAGCTGAGCGCCAAGGCCGGCTGCCTAATCCGATTACCCGAGGCCTGGGGCTTGGGCCAGGCCTGGGGCAGAATGGGGAGCCGGGCTCCCTGGAGACTGCCTTTGAGACTTAGGTGTCCAGCCCTCATTGCTGCTGGCTCTCCGCTCTGGGTCCAGGCCGCTTCTCAGGCACCCACGCTGCTGACCGCTGGGCCCTGGGGGGTGGGGGGCCCAGGGGAGCCCAGGCTCCGGGCTCCCTGCCTTCAGACTCAGGTTTGCAGGTAGCACCTGCAGTGGAGAAACCGAGGTTTGGGGGCTGGAGTTGGGAGGGCTTAAGTTTTCTCACCTGGAGAAAGGGGCTTGAATCACCACCTAAGCACCTGCTGGGATGACTCAGGAAACAAAAATGGCCTGCCTCCTGACTGTCTTGGCCCAGGGGCAGGTCAGGGCTTTGAGGAGCAATAGGCACAAGAAAAGGGTTTGGGGTAGGGGGTGGGGTGTTCCCAACTTCCTCCTAGCTCAATTGTGACCCTGAGGGCTTTTGATTCCCCGGTGCTTGATCCCATTGTGCAAAGGAATTGACTTTAAATTGCCAAAGCTCCCGAAGGGAGGGGAAGGCGTTCAGAGCTCCTAGGGCTGGAAGGCTTGACATCTGGGTCTTGGGTGGGGAGGGGGCGTGGTGCCCCGAGGGGGAGTGTTGGGGGCTGGGAACCACAGGACACCTGGGTTTGCCTAAGGGAGGGGGACGTTGGCGCCCGTCAGGAGGCGCGGTCTGCGGGGAGGGAGTGGGGAGGAGTCTGGTTAAAAGCTGTTCCCGGGTCTGGCCCACCCGCCAGCCACAGACGCTGAGGCCAGGTGAGAGGGGCGGTGGCGGTGGCGGTGGCGGCCGGGCCCCGGGACTGCCCGGGACTGCTCGGAGGCCGGGCGCGCCTCGGCGGAAGGCGGGCTGGGCCGGGCACCTGGCGGCATCCGGGAGCGGGAGAGCGCAGTTTGCGCGGTGCCGGCTCTCCAAAGTGTGCCTGATTGGTTGGGAGCAGGGGCTCCATTCTCAGGACTCTGAACTTGGGGACGACACCTACTTTATATAAGGACACGTGTTCCTCTGGAACGACTGCAGACTGGGAAGACCCTTGCATTTTAAGGACACCGGGTGTGGGCATCGACGTCCCGCTTTGGAGGGGAGGGCGCGGAGGACGCCCTCTCAAGGCTTCCCTCCACCACCACCCCCCCCCACGCCCCCATGGCTCTTCCTGGCCCTTCACACGCCCAGGTCTGGAACCTGGAGCCTCCTGCTCCCACGGCTCCTGCCAACCCGTCCTCGGGCTGCCCGGAGCGGGAGGGCGCCGGGAGCCCGGGGGTGTCCGGGGGGCTCCCCCTGGAGAAGGTGAAGCGGCCCATGAACGCGTTCATGGTGTGGAGCTCCGCTCAGCGCCGCCAGATGGCGCAGCAGAACCCAAAGATGCACAACTCGGAGATCTCCAAGCGCCTGGGCGCGCAGTGGAAGCTGCTGGGCGAGGACGAGAAGCGGCCCTTCGTGGAAGAGGCTAAGCGGCTCCGGGCCCGGCACCTGCGCGACTACCCCGACTACAAGTACCGGCCTCGGCGCAAGGCCAAGAGTTCGGGCGCCGGGCAGCCCCACTTCGGCCCGGGGAGCGGCGGTGTAGCTGCCGGCGGGCCGGTCTGGGGGCCCGGGTACGCGACCACCCAGGGGAGCAGAGGCTTTGGGTACCAGCCGCCCGGCTACTCCGCAGCCTACCTGCCCGGCGGATACGGGTGAGTGCCTGGGCGGCGGGCTGAGGCTCCGGCAGGGGTCACTCCGGGGGGACCTGGGAGGGGGGGTTTAGCGCCCCCCGCCCGCCCAGTGCCCCGCCGGGGTGGGAGCGTTCCGGTGGCCCCGGGGTTCCCTGGAGCCGTTTCCAGACCAGCCCGGCAGTGGCGGCCCCCAGGATGCGATCCTGTTCTAGTTACCCGAATTTCCCTTTTCCTCCCCGCTTCTGGCCCTCCTGTGACCCGGCTTCCCCTCCCTGCCCGCGGGGCAAGGAGAGGCCCGGCCCGACTCTGCCCCTTCCTGGTCTGCCGAAAACAGGCGCGACACGCAAGCCTGCTCTAGAGCGTGCCCCGACACGGCCGCGCCACGGTTCTCAAGCCGCCGCGGGGTTTGGTCCCCAACCCGCGCTACCCAGTGGGGCCCGGACAGCCAGGGACCGGTGGCTGGGTGACAGCAGGTTCTACCTCTGGGGCCAGAGCTGGTCCCACCCACCCCCACCTGTGCTTGGGGGGCGCTGCCGGCACCTCCCAACCCGGGGACGGGCTCTAACCCCAGTGTCTCTCTTTTTGCAGCTCTTCCCACTGTAAACCAGAGGCCTCCTCGCCGTGCTCCCTCCCTCAGAATAACCCCAGGCTCCAGGGAGAGCTGCTCCCGCAATACAGCCCCTGCCTCCCCCCAGGCTCTCCCACCCCGTACAGCCCTCCCCTGCTGGGGCCCCCACTGCCCCTGACCCACCTCTAACCCTCGTGGACATGGACCTCCCAGGAAGGGTTCCCCCTCCTTTGTCTTCACCCCAAACCCCCCACCCAGGCTGCAAACCCTTCTTTATAGAACTGTGTTGGACCCCAGTTCAGAGGAGGCCTGTGCTACAGTCCCCGTCCCTCCCTCCCCTCCCCCCCGCCCCGCAAAACATTTTTTTTGTAGGATGAACACAAGTTTTTACAATTAAACCCTGTCTCGGAGTCTTTATTGCCCTACGTCTGTTCCCCCTCACTGCAGCAGGAACCAGCAGTCTCCACTCCCTTCCGCCTGGACCTGCCAGAGCAGGAACCTCCTCACCCCACCCTGGGGCCCTGCCTGAGTCATTCTCCATCCCCCCACTCCCCACCCAGCACTGGGGTCCTGGAGACCGTCCCAACCAGGCTCGGGGGAGGGAGGCAGCCCCAAGCCCCCAGCTGCTTCCACCAGCGGCTCTGCCCTCTAGGGCCACAGGGAAGTGGGGAGAGGGGGAGGGCAGGGCGGGCAGGGCCGACTTGGGCCCCAGAAAACCTAAATAGGTGGGAATGGCGCTGAAGGAGGAGTCTCAGGCAAACGATTCAGTGAGTTAATATTCCGTTCACAGGGCAGTAGTGTCAGCCTGAGAGCCCTACCCCCGTGCGTTCCGGGGATCCGCGGTCCCCCTAAAACCCGGGCTCGAGACTTTCACAATTGCAGAGGGATGAAGGAGGGGAGGTCCCACCAGCCGACTGGTGCCGGTTGGGAACGACCCTGAGGTTGGGGGGACGACGGGAGACACAGAAGGCGCTCCAGCGGCCAGCCCAGCCCTACTCTTTCTTCTCGCGGGGGGGCTTTGCGTTCCAGTAGAAGAGGAGCTGGGCAGCGATGAGGCCGTTACAGAGGGAAGAGACCACGAAGGTTCCCGCCATGAGGAGGTCTCCGGTCTCCTGCGTGACAGACAGCGGGGCCCCAGAAAGTGTTCAGAGAAGGAGCAGCGAGAAGGCGGCGGCGGAGCGAGGGCCGGGCTCTAGTGCCCCCTAGAGGGGAGAAGGGGCACGCACCTGAATGGAGGTGAAGATTCTGGCCAAGGAGCCCCCAAAGAGCAGAAAGACGGTGACGGCTGAGAGCTGGCCCGTGTGCCCGTGCCGGTAGTTCGTGGCGGCCTGGAGCAGCTGGGGGAGAGGTTGAGAACCTTCGTTCCACCGTCTGGACTCCTCACACTTGCCACCCCCACCCCCCCAACCCCCCGCCCAGCATCCTTCCCTCGCTCCCAGCCCTCACCCGCCCCAAGACCACCGCAGGCACGTTGGAGGCCTGGAGCAGGGTGACGAGGGCCAGGGGCGTCAGTGGGGACAGCAGCAACAGCAGGGCCAGCGCATAGCATGTTAGGAAGGTGACACCTGGGGGTCAGGGAGGTAAGGAGCCCCGATGAGCCTCTCCGGTCCTCGGGCTTCCCCAGGCCGGAGTTCCCAACAGGGCCCCCAAGAGCCACCCCCCCAGCACCTTTCACGGTCTGTCCTCTGTAGTGCAGGACCAGGAAGCAGATGGTGACTGTCTGGAGCATCAGGAACAGGGCTTCACCCCAAGAGCTGCAGAGTCAAGAGTTGGGAGGGAGAAAGGCGGGCCTGGAAAGAGGCAGGGAAAGCCTCCATGGCCCGTCCAGCTGGGGCCACAGTTTGCTGATGACTCCCTGTTGTCCGCAGCCCCGTCCTGTGGGGATGGACTGACGGACTCGGGTCTAGATCCTGGGCATCCTTGGGATGCTCTCCTCTTCTCATCACGTTCACAGAAGACGGCCAGATTTCCAGAAGGGCTTAAGCTTTGCTGCCCTTTTACCTGCCTCGCCCTGACCCCCACTAGACATGTGCACATTCACCCTTGGGGATCAAGGGCGGGCTCCCTCACCTGAAGGGGAAGTTGTTGGTGATGCTGTAGACCATGGTCCCCGTCAGTGCCACTAGCTCTAGCATTACTGACTGAAGGCTCAACCCTTCGGCACTCTTGGCTCTCAGGATTTTAAACACCTGCGGCAGTTTTACTAGAGAAAGGACAGGAAGGGCAGGGATGAGGAGCCAGCATGCCTCGGGAGCACCGCACCACAGTCAGGGAGTGGACCGGGAAGCCTGTTACCTCCACTTCCGGTTAAGGGACCCACCCAGCTTCTGGCATCTCAGCTCTCCGCCCTCCTCCTGACATCGGGGAGAGATAAGGTACATACCCAGCAGCGACCCAGCCACGATGCCCAGACCCAGGCCTTTGCTGAGGAGAATCTTGAGGCAGGCGACTGAGAAGAGAAAAAGGAGTAAACAGAACGGACGCCTCTGGAACCCGGCCCAGGGCTAAAGGCTTTTCATGCTGCTGTGGGTTGCCGCTGTTCCTTAGGACGCGGACAAACCCACACGAGGAAGCCCGGGGCTGTCTGGGGCCTGGGCTTCCTGCTCCCAGTCTTATCACTGCCCTCTGACTTTCCAAAACAGCCTTTACCATGCCGATTGCATCTAAACTGATGGGTGTGGGAGCACCAGGGTGGCTCAGTCGGTTGAGCATCTGCCTTTGGCTCAGGTTGTGATCCCAGAGTCCTGGGATCGAGCCCTGTGTCAGGCTCCCTGCTTCTCCCTCTCCCTGCAGCTCCCCCTGCTTGTACTCTCTCTGTAAAATAAATAAAAATCTTTGGTGTGGGGGTGGTGATACTTCTTGTAAAACTGAGCAATGCCCACGAGTCCTGGGATCCTTCATTCCCCTGCTCTGAGCAACCTAGGCGATCCAATCCACAGGTCTTCCCAGTGCAAGGACAGGTCTCCCGATCCACTCATTCCTGAACCCTTTGTCCCTGGCCCCCGCTCACAGACTTTACGTTACCCTTCAGGGGCTTGCTGGGAAGCCCCGGCCCCCACACCTCCAGCCCAAGGAGCTCGGCCCAGTGGGAGTCATGAATTCGACCCAGTCGGTCCCAGGAGCACAGTGGGGGACCGGGAACGGACAAGGGCAGGCTGGGCAGGTCTCCCACGGGACCTGGCGTCTGCAGTGGGCTTCGTGTGGACCTGCCTCGCAGACGGGAGGACGGCAGGCAAGTCACCCCAGCATTAGACCATGAGCAAACGTGGAGGGCGGAAGGCGCCTCTGGAGGTGCCGCTGAAGCCTGGATTCCTCAGAGGCCTTGAAGCAAGTGCAACGGCTCCTCAAGGTCTACTGCTGACATGATTTTATTTATCCGACAGAGAGAGAGCACGAGCAGGGGGAGCGGCAGAAGGAGATGCGGGCTCCCCGCGGAGCAGGGAGCCCGATGCGGGACTCGATCCCAGGGCCCCGGGATCATGACCCGAGCTGAAGGCAGACGTTTAACCGGCTGATCTTATTGAAGACTGGGACGATTTGGTCAGATTTTAACTTTGTCTTGTGCAGTTTGAGTCTCTCCATCTTTTATTATCACAAGGAAGTAGTTCGGCCGCCGCCGCCCGCTGACCCCTCCCCGGCCTCCCGCCCAAATATGGCGAGCCCCCTCTATGGAGGCCGAGACACTTCCGCCCTCTTCCGGAGTGACTTCCGCCCGGCTCGGCCTGGCAGGGGTCGCCGCAGCCGCCGCCGCCTGGGCCGCCGTCACGCACCACTGATGGCCCCAGGGCGCTCCAGCAGAGCTTTGATAGGATGCCGAATAAAGCTCACCGTGAAGCAAGTCCCACTGGACGAAAATTTGGTCGTAGCATTCCTCAGGTAAGAGAAGCGGCACCAGCGCCCGTTTGAGCGGGCCGTCTGCCTCGGCCGCCATGTTGCCAAATTAGCTTCCGCCCGTCTCTCCGGGTCGCCATTGACCGACGCTGCGCATGCGCGCTCTGGGCCTTCCGCTCCGCTGTTCCCCGCTCTTTCTAACGCCACCCCATCTTCAGCAGCGTGAAATAGGTCTCGGCCAGAGACCACGTTTCGGAAGCACCGTCCCTGTTCGAATTTTACGGCATGCCCAAGCTTGCGCCTGCGCAGTTCCATCTATCGCGCCTTTGTTTACGCTTCCAGTTCGGAGGCAACACTGAGCCTCCTGCCTTTCTCCGCTCCTCCTGCGCGGCGCCATCTTGTCTTCCCCTGGCCGACTCCACCTTGTTCGAAGTTGAGAGAGAAGGAGCATGAGTCTCGGGAAGGGCGTTGAGTGGGGGCGCCGTGGCTCCCTCTCTCCTGTTGTCTCGGCGTCTCCCGAGGGAAGGGCGTCGGCGGGAGCAGGACCGCCTGCGCCAGTTAGCCCTCCGGAGGTGCCGAGCTGCCCGCAGGCCCATGTTCCTCCCTCCCCGGCTCGCCCGGGGCCTTGGCGGTTGGGTTCGCCCGCAGCTGCTGGGCAGGGACGGGGAAACGGAGGAGGAAGCGGTGGGGAAGGCGAGCCCCCAGGCCCGAGGGTTCCCTCCCACGCCGCCGGCCCCTCCGCCGAGCGAGCACACCAGCGAGGCCCCGGGCCCAGCAGCTCCCCTTGGGAGAGGCCAGCGTGGACAGCGATGCCCTGTCCGCCCCCCCCCCCCCCCCCGCGCTGGGACCCCAGCTCCCAGCCATCCCGGTGGAGGCGGGCCCGGCCGTTACGCCCCGGTGGCCCGGCACCCGCTGCAGGGGCCACGTTGTCGAGCAGCAGTTCTTTGCCAGTTAGCGAGGTCACACGGGATGCCCGGGGACGCGGTGGTGGGGCTGCCCGCGGTGGGGTGGGCCTCCGGCCTTGCAGGACCCCCGCAGCTGGACGGGCCCCATCCTGGCTTCCCGGTGACTGCACGTAACGCGGGGCAGCTGTCCTGGGGCGGCCACGCGCTCCCTCTAGGTACACCCCCGGGGCAGGGGGCCCAGGCTGGAGGCACGCTGTTCTTGGGGGAGCCCAGGGTGATTGGGGGTGGAGGTGAGAGTCCCCACGGCTGGGATAGGAGCATCCCTGGTGCGGTGAGGGTTTAATCGGGGTGCTCACCCAGCCCTGGACACGGTGGGCAGGGCAGAGCGTTCTTGTTGCTAAGGCGCTCCCACAGGAAGGTGTGACCTTCCCACCCACACTCATTGGCCATTGCCACCTGCTTCACCTCTGACTGCGAAACTGGTTTGGAGGGCAGGGGGTACTGGAGCAGCCAGAGGCCCCGGGAAGAGGAGGAGACGGCGCAGAAAGGCATGTGACCGACACTCAGGGCCTTTAATCCTGGCAAGAAGGACAGGGAAAACCGAGGACGGAGGTTGAAGCAGGTTTTAGTATTCTGGGGCCGGGAGAGGAGAAACTGGGCACGTTTAATGAACATCTTAGCTCCACTTTTGTTCCTGAAGACGGAGAGGGAAGGTAACTTTGGTGCTGAGTCGGTTGAGTGGTGAGAACGCAGGGCTCTGCGGTGTCACCTGGTATTGGAACGGGTGCTCAGAGGGGCTGGTAGGCCGGTGGGCGTCTCCGGACGATGCAGAATGTAACCAGCAGCAGGGTGAGGAGGCCGAGCGAGATCAAGCCGATGATGAGGGGCAGCAGGTTGAATTGGTCGCTGGGACAAGAGAAACCTGGCAGAGAGGGAGGGCCGGCAGGAATCACGGTGGAGGCCGCGCCCAGATGGGAGGAGGGAGGAAGGCGTGCGGGGGGGGGGGGGGGGCGTTGGGAAGTAGGAGATTGGCGGGGAGCTTCCCTAGAAGACTCCGAGCAGTAAGGAAAAGGGGAGAAGGGCAGAGTTGTGGAGGAAGCAGGACAGCTGACAAGCCTGAGAGAGGAAGGGCGGTTATGGGCCCGATGACACGGGGGGCGGGGGGGGGTGCTGTCCCAGCAGGCGGAGCCTTCGAGGGGGTAGGAAGAGGTCTTACTTGGCCCAAAGGCCCCTGAGGGGGGGAGCTGAGCGGCCTGTAGCTTCAGGTGGAGCAGGTCAAGGCGCAAAGCCGGCGCCAGAAGGATGCTTGCGTTTCTGCAGCCGAAGCTCTGGCCCAGGGGGGCTTGGAGAGCTCGAAGGGATGAATTCTGACCCGAGAAGGTCCATTCTGGAAGAGCGAGGAAGGGTCAGCTCTCCGTCCCTGTCCCCGCCCCCGGCTCTGGTCCCTGCAGGAGCCCAGACGTCCAGGGCGAGCGACGAGAGGGCAGGTTACTCACGCGCTGCCTGTGGGAAGGACACGTTGTACTCCAGAGCCAGGTACTTCAGGTAGACTGCGCCGTGCCGTGGCTCCTGGGGGAGGTGACCAGGAAGGCTCAGGGTGGCAGCGGACAGCCACGTGCCGGAGCCAGGAGCGCAGCCAGGGATTGGTGGGAGGAGGGCAGGCCGAGGGTGGGGGATGCAGGGGAAGTACCTGCTCGAACCCGAAGCTGAGCTGTCCGAAGGGGAAGGAGAGAAGCAGATGGGGGCGGGCGCCCTCACAGCCCCCCTGGGGCTTGGTTTTGTTGGGGTTCAGTACGGAGATGCCCCAGGCCTGTAGAAGTTAAGATGAGAGCTCTGTAAGAACACAGCCGCGTCAGCCGAGGTTCCCTGGGCCCTCCACCCCGGCCCTACCCGCTCCCCTGCCCCTCCCGTCCTCCGCCGGCCGTTCTCCGCTGGCGCTTGGCTTTACCTCTCCTCCGCCCTGGGTCGGGTACACAACTCCGATCTGAATCCGGGCTTGGAGCCGGACGCAGGGCTGGGAACCATTAGTCCAAGTGTAGTCTCCTACGGCCTCCTGGGGCCCTGGGCTGGGACTCGGCGGGGGTGGCGGCGGCGGCCCTGGGTGGGGGGAGCTGGTGGAGGCGTTTGGGCTGGTGGCGGTGCTGTTGCTCGCTGTTGGACGGACCGTGGTGTTTCCGTGGTGGGGGGTGGTCGGGGGCCGGGGCGTGGCCGTCGTGGGCTTGTGGCTGGTGGCGCCCGCGGTGGTAGTTACGTGGCTCGTGGTCGCAGGGCTTGCCGTGCTTTCTGTTGTCGTCGGGGTCGGGGTCGGGGTCGGGGTCACCGTGAAGGATGGCAGCAGAGTGGCCGACTTTTTACGAGGACAGTCGTTCCCTGTCCCCTGGGCTTTCAGCAGAGGAAGACCGGTTAGCGGCAGGTGGGCAGACTCCCCCCGGGGCCCCCTCCCCTCTGGCGTCTCTCCTCACCAGCCAGCAGCCCCACCAGGGCCCCCAGGAACACCACGGCCGGCCTCATGACGGAACGGCCTCACCTGGCCTCACCCGCTCGCTCCGGGCCCGTCCCGTCTGACCCGGCTGCTTGCTCAGCCCTATCCCCTGCCTCCGTTTGGAAAAGGAGGAATTAAGTTTTTGACTTCCTGTCACTGAGACAGTCCGCCCCCAGCCTGACTCAGGCACCTCAGCCCCAGCCACCAACCCCTTAGTCACCAACTTTTGTCATTGAGGGGATTGCCCTGGCTTCCAAGTGGGAACCCGCAGCCTCCAGAATGTCACATGTGAGTTTGGGGGCAGTCGATCCTTGGGGACCGATGTGTCTACCTCCAAGCACGTGTGGAGGTCCCGAGGGATTACAGAACCAGCGGGCCGACAGCCCTCCCCCAGCGCTCTCCAGAAACGGGGTGTTCGAGGCGTCGTAAAAGGGTTGTCTTCTCCCTCCTCTGTCTGGCACTTCCTCTTGGCCGAGGCACGTGAGTTGCTCATGACGGTGCTTGCAGGCAGCGCCAGAGCAGGTCGGGGCGTCCAGCGAATGGGACTTTATCAGAAGGGAGGTGGGGGAAAAGCGCCACCCAAGGGCAATCTGTAAGGGTGACGACGGGGGGCAGGGGGCGCAGCCAGAGATGTATGTGCCCAGTAACAGGTGGGAGGGAAGGGGAGGCAAGAAATGAGAAGCCCAAACAGGCAGTTTGCAAGTCATTTTATTCAGAATTTTGTGTTTTGTTTCCTGAATCAATAAATACTATACAAAACAATGTAAAAATGGCTACCATTTTTTCTCCCCTGCTCCCCCCACTTGGGGACAATCCCCTGGGCCATTTAACTCAAGATTCTCCGGATTTGGTCCAGCAAATGAGGTTGAGTGACACTATGGCCCCTTGAATCCTCTTCAGAGGAGTTCAGCTGGGGTGGGGAGAGCCTCTGGGGGCTAGAGGTCGACTAGGTTACGGAGATGGATTAGTGTTTCTGGGAGAAGCGACGGCGCCTGGGGCAGCTGTTGCCCCAAAGAAAAGGGGGTCTAAAATGTTCACGGTTCCTTCTTTTGCCTCAAAAAGTGACATTTATTCAAAGAAAAAAAAAAGAAAAAAATGACAAGATGTCCATCCCTTGGCTCCCTTCCCTCCCCCCTCCTGCTCTTCAGCCCCCAGACTGAAGCCTGGGTAGGGCTAGGTAGCAGGACAGCCCCTCAGATGAGGTCAGCAACATTGAGCGGCATCTCCTCAATGGAGGTGTTGTAGAAGGTCTCGATGTCTCGAAGAGTCCTCTTGTCTTCTTCTGTCACCATGTTAATAGCCACACCCTTACGGCCAAATCGTCCACCGCGACCGATTCTGGTGGAAAACAGCGACACCTCAGGATGAGGGATGACAACGGAAGGGGGAAACAGAACTTTCCGCTCACGGCAAGTTGCAGGAACGTTCCAGACCCACACTTACCTGTGGATGTAGTTTTCCCTGTTGGTGGGAAGGTCATAGTTGATGACTAAGGAAACCTGCTGCACATCAATGCCTCTGGCCTAGGTCAGGGGAGAGGACAGGTCAGCACGAGAACCAGGAGGGGACACAGTCGAGCCGGAAGGCACTGAAGGGTGTGTAGGCAGCCAAAGGCAGGCAAAGGAAACAGACATGCCCTCTCCCCCAGCAACCTAAGGCATGCCACGTTTTCTTCCAAGTTGCTACTTTCCTGAAGAGGGGCACAAGCAGGCCCCTTGGAGAGGGAATCACCTTGGATTTTCCCTTCTTCCTTCCCACTCTCCCAGCGTCCCCCCTACTCACCAGCAGGTCAGTGGTAATCAGTACTCTGCTAGAGCCGGAGCGGAACTCCCTCATGATAACATCTCGTTCCTTTTGGTCCATATCTCCGTGCTGGAGCGGGAACAGAGGGGAGGGCATGGGTCCCGGGCCCGCGGGCGCCGAGGACAAGCTGTGAGGCGTGCCAACGCCCCCCCCCCCCCCCCCCCGCTGGGGACAAGGTGGAGCGCACGCACCATGGCGGACACGGTGAAGTCTCGGGCGTGCATCTTCTCAGTGAGCCAGTCCACCTTCCTTCGGGTGTTGATGAATATAACCGCCTGCGTGATGGTCAGGGTCTCGTACAGGTCACACAGCGTGTCCAGCTTCCACTCCTGGGAAGGGGAGGGGATACCAGTCAGGGGCTATACCCCCCCTGCCCTGGGCCCGCCTCCTGCCCTGGGCCCCACCTCTCGCTCCACGTTGATGTAGAACTGGCGGATACCCTCCAGGGTCAGCTCCTCCTTCTTGACCAGGATCCGGATGGGGTCCCTCATGAACTTCTTAGTCACCTCGAGCACATCGGAAGGCATCGTGGCAGACAGCAAAACCACCTAACAGGAAAGAGCAGCCTCAGGGTGGAGGACCCTCCACGATACCTGCCCCTCCCCCATTCCCAAGGACCACCTGAAACAGAAGCCAGTGAATAAAACAGCTTGAGGGGAGACCCCAGGATTCCTGTTGGCTCCTCCACTCCGTTACCCCAAGCACCCCACAATCTACAAAGGAGTCCTCGACTCTACGACACGAGGCTGTACACCTCTTTCTCACCTGGGTGTTGCTGTTGAGCTTCTGGAATATGTCATAGATCTGGTCCTTGAATCCTCGGCTTAACATTTCATCAGCTTCGTCCAATACAAACATCTTGATGTACTTGGGAGCTGAGAGAGAGAGAGAGAGAACGCCCACAAGTGGTGATTAGGGAAGTGAGAGGAGACGCACATTTCCCAATAAAGAACAGAAAACGGACAAGAGCTCTGCTCTCAGAAGACGAAGGTTGATCCTTTGCCTGCGACTCCCGCGCTAGCCCAGCTGACAGCCCTGGGAAGCAGAACACTCCCCGGGGCTGAGAAGACAGGGAAGAAGCCAGGCTCAGATGACACGCATGGGCTCATCACAGAGCAACACCCTCCCAGGCGCACCCGGGCACCGTGGAGGAGACCGTGGATCAGGGGGCAGGGGGACGCGTGCGCGGGAGGGGAGACTCACACAGGTATCTCCGATTCAGCATGTCAAATACACGACCCGGGGTGCCCACGATGATATGGGGAGCCTCCATCTGAAGCTTCTGCACCTCGGCACGTACATTGGTCCCCCCGATGCAGGCATGACAGGAGGCACCCATGTAATCTCCTAATGCCATGACTACCTTCTGTATCTAGACCCAGAAAAAAGTGCCCGTATGTTAACTGCGACTGTGCCAGGCCCCATTTAAAACGGTTCTGATGTAATGCTCTCCAACTCAGACATGCACCATTAAACTCACTTTTCAGGCAAGAAACAGGCAGATACTTCACTTAAGATCACACTGCCAGTAAGTGGCAGGCTCAGGATTTGAACTTGGTCTGGCTCCTAAGAATACAAGGATTCACAATAACCGCCCTTTCTAAAAGCCACCAACGACCCATTTCATTTGATCTCATAGCAACCAGTTTTATTAACAGAATGCCATCTACCTGCGTCCTATTGCACTCCTGCCACAGACCTGTGCTAGGGGAGATGTTCACTCTAAAAAAAAAAAAAAGCATCTGCACACACATGAAGGCCCTCTGGAGTTCTAGAATTCTGCTTTGCTTGCAGTACATTACCTTTGTTTGCAGTTAGCACAGAATCATCCTGATTTTTCCACAGAACTTTTCTACTTAAACGAGATTAGCATTTCTGACCCTTTCTAAGACCTCCCAAGACCCGGGAAAACAGTCTATCGTTAGGATTTTGTGTGCCCCAGGCATGAAACAGCTCTGGCCACCAACCCAGGCATCAAGCTAGGATGAACAAAGGAGTGTCCGTCTGCTTTGCCCCTGGCTGATACAAGAGCACCACCACCAAGGGGTCTCTCTGCCCATTGCCAGGGGGTCGGTTCATCAACAGCTGCCAAACTTGCCCGGCCAGCCAGGCTCCACCTCACGGGCTTTTCATTTGACTCAGGAAATGGGTGGAGAAAATAACGCTTATTGTGTTTAGGTAAGAAACGGCTTATAATTAGCCCTAACAAGCCTTCAAAGATCCGGAAGTCCTCAGCTTATTTTCTCTACTTTTACACAGTGGTTCCTTTCTTCCCCCCGTGCTTCAGTTCTGCTGAGCTGGTGGTCCTTGCGGAGCACACCTCTGATTTTTTTGATTATGCTAATTATTTCTAACATTCCTTCAAAAGAGTTAGGAAGCTGCATGCTCACCTGCTGAGCCAACTCTCTAGTAGGTGCCAGGACCAAGGCCTGCGTAGCCTTTAGGTCCAATTCAATCTGTTGCAGGATTGATATGGCAAAAGTGGCTGTTTTCCCAGTCCCAGATTGGGCTTGAGCGATCACATCATAACCTAAACAGATGAGCAGAAATTTGGTTATCAGAGTGCATACGTTTCAGAATCAGGAAACGTTCAAGGCTCTGATCAATCAATCAGCACCCAACAGAACTTCGTGGCAAGCATTAAGTACTTCACAGACTTTACCTTGTCACAATGTAATTCCCACATGGAACAATCAGGGCAGGTCAGATTAACTCATTTAGTACTACACAAAATTGGCCTAGAAACACAGGTACGAACAGCAATTATGAGCTGACTAAACTACTACCTTATTGAAATTAAGACAGCAGTCCATGTGTCCAGGGCATGAACCAGACACAGGCACAGACCAAGAGCCAAGCTGGGATAAACAAGGAGTTGCTTTGTCCCTGACTGATATGAGACAAGCACCACCAACCAGGTGCCACTCTACCCAGGTCAGGGGCGGTCCAGAACTTGTCCTGAGGCCGAGGGATCTTACCCTTGATACAAGGGAGAATGGCTCGCTGCTGGATGGCAGAAGGCTTCTCAAAACCGTAGGCGTAGATGCCACGGAGAAGGGACTCAGAGAGGTTCATGTCATCAAAGCTGTCAACAATCTCATTCCAGTTACTCTACAGGATACAGAGAAATTTCAATGGTAGGAGACACAAAGCTGTATCCTAGCGCTTAACAGCCGGACCCTGTACCTGCACCAGAACTTCAGAGCCCCCCGCCACCTCACCTCCCTCCAGGGAAGCCAGATGGCCCCACAAGATCTGGGAAATCACCTTAAAGGGCAAGTCCACTTGTAAGACCAGAGACCAGACAATGTAGAAAGACAAGACTCAACTCCAGGACATGATATTTTAAACAAATCACCATAAAGCAGTTAGGATGGGGGGACAGATCTACTCGGGAGGTAGGCAACCATAGTCCCGGAATCAGGGGACACCGCCTTTCCCAGAAAAGGGACCAACAGCATAGGGATCCAAGCTCACCTCGATGACGCCTTCGGGCTCCATCCCATCGGGGCCATTGTCTCTGGATCTGTTGGAGGAAAGTAGAAGCATGCCAACTGAGACGCGTCAGAAACGCCCCAAGCAGCTGGCGGCCCTGCACGATGCCATCGGCCCCACTCCCCGAGCCGACCCCGCCAGCTCCCCGAGGACACAGCCCTTCCTCCACCACCGAGCCAGGCCCTGCCCCCGGCAGGCTGCAAGGAGCGCCGCCGCGCTCCCGGGGCCCGGAGGGGGTCCGCGCCGCCGGGCCCATGTGTCCCGGGCCGGGGCCGCTCCGAGCCCGAGCGCGTGCGCCTCCCCCACCCCACCCCCGCGGCCCCGGCGCGCCGGAAGTCCCGCCCCTCACCTCCCAGCTGCGAAGAGAGGACATCCCCTTCCCCCCACGTCACTCCGCCCGCGCCCTCCCCCACCCCCTCCAGCCCGTCTCCCCCCCTCGCGGTGCCCGGATGTGGGAGGCCGCGGGCGGTGGCGGCCTCGCGCACAATGAGCCCCAGCCGAGCTAGCGAAGGGGGAGATTGCACAACACTCAGAAGCCAAGCGGGCTGGGGGAGGGGAGCCCCTCGGGCCGCCATGTGCTCGCTCCCTCGACCACCCGGCGGCTTCTCCCCCCGCCACGGAACAATCCACAACCCGCCCGCCCCCGTCGCGAAATGGCATCGCCCTCCCATACCTCAGGCCGCTCACCCCCGAAGGAAAGTGGACCTGCCCATCCGCAGTTTGCCAATTGCCCGGCTTGTGCGGCAAAATGGACCCGCCCGCCCGGCGCCGGGTGGGCTCCCGGTGCCTCACGCGGCCGCTCCTCGGGGTCAGGCTCGGTCCTGGCCGTCAAGAAAACCAGCACACTGAACGGCCGGCTTCTTCCGCCCCGCCCCGGCTCTCCGCGCGACCGAGCGCCCGGCTCGGAGGACCCGGGCGCCCCCCGCTCCGGCGAGTGGTCCCGTCGGAATCCCCCGGAACCCCGAACGCGCGCGAGCCCTCCCTCCGCCAGAGAGGCGCCCGGACCCGCCGGCCCGGGCCACGCGCGCTGGCGGCCACCGCCGCCGTCGTCCCCCGCGCCAGGTCGCGATCCCGCCTGGCGCTCGGGCGCCGGGACCTCGCGCGCCGCGTCGTGGGCGGGGAGCGGCCTCCCGGCGGGCCTCGCACACCAGGCCCCGAGGGCCGGGCCGTCCCCGCTCGCTGCCCAGGCCCGGGCCCTGCCCCCTCGCCCCCCAAGACCGGGCCTCCCGGCATGGCTGTCCCGTACAACCCCGGGCGGGGCGGGGGGGAGGCCCCGGGCGGTGGGCCTCGGCTGCCCCTCCGCCCCTACCCGCCCCGCGGGGCCCTCGGAAGGGAGCGGCAGGGTGAGTAGCCTCGACCTTTTGCAAAAGGGTTTCTTACCGGGAATCCTGACTCGCAGACATGATCCTTAGAAACTAGGGCGGAGTGCCCGCCTATCGACAACTTATAGAGCGCCCGACCCCGCCCCAGCCATCGCATTGGCTTGGCCGCCTCGGCCCCGCCTGCCACCGCTGAGCGACTCAGCGTGACGTTAGTTCGCAGGCGCTCCGGCACGCCGCCACCATTGGACAACCTGAACGCCTATCAAGATGAGGCCCCGCCCCGCAGCCCCATTGGCTGTGGGACCCGCCTGTCTCGCCGGTGCGGAAGTGACATACGGGAGTCAGGCCTCGAGGCCTGGCAGCCATCTTGGGGCCCAGCGCCCCTACACGTGCGGAGGCGAGTGCGCCCGGGTCATGTGGTCCGGCTGGCCCTATCGCGCGCGAGGGGCGAGGCTTCAGCCTCCAGGGACTTCCGGGCTCCCGAGACCGCCGCTTCCCTTCGCCTCGGCTCCAGGTGCGCGCCGGACCCACAGTTTAGTTTGTCGTCTCCTGCAGCAAAGGTAGACCGGACACCGCCCCGAGCCGTTGCGAGTGTGCGGGGGACGGTGGAAGCAGGAGGCGCGCCCCCGCGCACCTGGGGGTACGGCCACGAAGCTCCGTCCCCCCTGAGCTCACCCAGCTTCCCTGCAGGAGGGCTTCGTCGGGGGGGGGGGCGGGGGGGGCGGCCAGGGTCTCAGCACCTCCGACAGGGTGGCTGACAGTGACTGCTGAACCCGAGCCTGACAGAAGGAAGACCAGCACTATGTATCTCCAAAGGATCCTTTATTGACCAGAGCAGGACCGTGGCATTTATATATATATATAAAAAAAAGTTTGAAGACTGGCAGGCAGTAATCCCTTTGCCCGCCCACCACCCCCAGCACAGATTTTCCTGCCCCCGCCCCTGCACTCGGAAGGGGGAATGACCGCCCCACCCAGGCCACAAGGCCAAGTTCCTCCCCTGCAGAGGGAAAAAGAGGCTGTTCCATGGCCACCCCCTGAACATCAGAAATCAACAAGTATTCTCTCAAAGAAAAAAAAAATACAGAAATCAAAACATTTAAATATGAAAAACCAAAGGGAATTGGATGGGGAGAGGCAAGAGAGGAAAGGAACTGGAGTTTCTTGGGAAGGAAGGGTCCCCCATGTCCCCATGCCCATTAATGAATGGGCTTGAGGCCTGGGATACGAGGCTCACACAGTGAGTTTGCAGTGACACAGCTCCTTGTAGATCTGCCGACGAAGTTTGGGCATGTCCTGCTGGGTGAAGCTGAATGGCTGAGACAGGGCCAGGTGCTTGCAGTACTGGGTGTTAACAAAGCAGGCCATGAGAACCACCTACTGAGCATCCCCCCAAGTCAGGACCTGTGCTACACACTTCACAGGAGCCATATCCATCTCACTGGACCTTTCCAAGAGCTTCCACCTTTCACAAAGGGAGCTAAGGTCCCATAGCCTGGGGCTCAAAGTCTGATTAAAGTCATTGTTCTTGGTACCTGCACTGAGGGGTTGGAAGGCAACTATATTAGAGCCAGGGCCCAAGGACCAAGAGGGCCAGTCCCAAAGTGGGCTGGGGAAGCCAGAAGAGGACCAACGAACGACATCCGCGTTTCTGCATTCTAACACGCAAGGTTACTCCCTGCTCCACAAGTGCCTGTGAGCCAAATCAGGGAGGCCGAGCGGTCTCCCGCCTCCGTCCCAAAACGGTAACCCGACTGCTATCTGCTTACCTGTAACACAAAGGCACCGCAGTCACTGTCATTGTTCTGCCTGGCCACATTCTACAGAATAAAAAGAAGGGAGGCCCTTCACCTGGAGGCTCCTAGGGGTGTGGCTTCAACTCTGCCTCCTGCCACACCTCTCTCACTACCCACTACCGACCCCCCCCACCCCCAGACACTTACCATTTTGAAATAACCTTTCCAGCCCTGGTGGAAATCCAGCCGGTCTTTCTTGACTGCCTCCGCCTGCAGGTACTTGGCAATATGCTACAGAGACAGAAACAAGGAGGAAGAAGTGATGCCCTGTGTTCCCCAACTGAACCCAGGGTATGGTGGTCCCAGCACCGAGCCCGCCCTTCTGCCCAGAATGCCTAGCCACTGCATTTCCTCCCCACATGCTTCCCGTCTGCCCCCCCTCCCCTCTCAAACCTTAGGGCAGCGGCGGTTTAGGGTGCGCTGCGAGTCAAAATAGGTGATGGTGCGTCGCCTCACGTCCACAGAGATGAGGGACCAATGCACCTCCAGGTGGATGGGGATCAGCAGTAGCTCCTTATTAAAGATGTCCACCTAAGGGAGGCGGCGCCAGAGGTCAAGTCAGGTAGCACGAGGGTCCTGCCCGCTGCCAGGAGGGTCCTCAAGAGGAGCGGAGGCACAGGCAAGGAGCCAAGGGACAGAACACAAGGCCCAGCCCTTCCACTGTTAAGGCAAGGGTCAGCGTATGCGGCCTCCAGGGGTGAGGAAGAAGGCAGCTCAGAGGAGACACCCACTGCAGGGCTCAGGATGGCCGGCCAGGTACTCCACACAGCAAAGGTGCAAGTGCTAAGTAGCTAAGAACCCAGGCTTAGGACTGCAGAGCCAGACTGCCGGGGTTTAAATCCAGCTCCTCTGTTGACTAGCTGGTGACCGTGGGCAAGCTACATAATAAACTCTCTATACCTCCGTTCTCTTCCTTCTAAGAAGCTGAAAACAACAGCACCTACCTCATCTGTCTGTTAGGACTTAATGTAGTTAACATCCATAATACGCTAACAAGGGCGGCACGGTTCCTAGTCAAGGGTCGGCTAGTTAACAAGACAATCCTATGAGGAAGTGCTCACGGTCAGCTAACGACGAGCTAACTGCCGCTTGGCAGAGTAAGGCAACTTGCTGAAGGTCACAGAAGAAAGTACATAGGTGGGATTCAAATGCGAGTATGCCGAAGGCAAGTTCTTTTCACTGTGCGTCACCCCACCTCTGCTGGGAGAAGCAGGCCTGCCAGGTCACTGAGGGTGTAAGCCCCCAAACTTGGGGGCTGAAACTGAGGAGTGCTGGAGCCAGTTAGTTGTCCTACCTCACTGTAGAAATTTCCTGGCTTCTGAACTGGAGGGCAGGGACACTAACTAGAGGAGAGAAAGGAACTCTTTTTTTTTTCCCCTCACCAAACGTGCTCCCTCCTAATTCGTCTCCCTAGTAACTTCCGCTACCAACCCAGGCCTCCGCGATTCCTAGCTTTTCTTCATTCCCAGGTCCAACCCGTCAGAAAATACTATCAATTCTGACGGCAAAACCTATCCTAGAGAAAGCTACTTCTACTTCGGCCCTTAGCGCCCTGGCCCACGTTTCTCAGTTGGACTTCCGTGCTCCCCTCCTAGTCTGTCTGCTTCTACTCTTGCCCCGCTTCCAATCTTCATGAAACAGGAGTTTAAAATGTGAGGGACTGGGGCGCCTGGGTGGCTCAGTTGGTTGGGCAACTGCCTTCGGCTCGGGTCAGGATCCTGGAGTCCTTGGATCGAGTCCCGCATCGGGCTCCCTGCTCAGCTGGGAGTCTGCTTCTCCCTCTGACCCTCCCCCCTCTCATGTGCTCTCTCTCTCTCTCTCTCACTCTCTCTCTCTCAAATAAATAAAGTCTTTAAAAAAAAATAAAATAAAATAAAATGTGAGGGACTTCCCAGCCTCCTTAAAACTTCAATGGCTTCTCGGCGCACATAGAGTAAGATCTACCCTCAGCTTCTCCATCCTTACACGATCGACTCTCTGACCGAATGTCTTACCAATATTCCCGCCACTCACTCTGCTCCAACCACACAGGACACCCACATGGGCCTTCGGTGCCTCACATGCCCTTTCTCACCCTGAGTCCCGTGTACTTGCTATTACCCTTGCCTAAACTACTCTTCCCCCATATCTGCACACGGCCGGCTCCTCATCACTCGAGTCTCAAAGAGAGGCCTTCCCAGACCGCCCGATCTCAAAGACCCACCTCCCATGCTACTACATTACCCCTTTAATCGCAGCACCTAGCACTAGCTGGAATCTCACCTGCTTATTTACTCTTACTCCATAAAGGCAAGAAGTTCTCCTTATTTAACACTGAATCCTTAGTGCCTACAACGGTACCCCACACACACACAAGACCCTTAATATTTCAAAGACTGAGTGAGCAGGCTTGAGGAAGGGGCTCCTAGAAAACAGAACTCTAATGCTCTCCAGGCAAGGTGTTACACAAGGAGATGTGAATTGGTAACTCACGTTTTTGGTCCACCTTTTCACCCCATCGTAACCCTTGGTACGGAGTTTATCGTAGAAGAAACTGTTGAAGAAATGCACCTGTGCCAATGATACAAAAGAGCTGGATGGAATTAAAAGAGCCCCAGCTCTCCTGCCAAGTCTCCTCTGCCCGTGCCGCTCCATTTCATTATGGCTCCAAGGGCCAGGTTCAACACCCTCCACTGCCAATTCACTGAGGGTAAAAAACCACATCCTTTTTAGCCTTCTCTTATTGCTTTGTGGAGTTAAGACACGGGGAAAAAAAAACCTACCCACTGGGGGAAGAGAATAGGTAAGTTCAGGACCAAGATTAAAGATCTGAGGGGCGCCTGGGTGATGCAGCCGCTTATTTATTTTTATTTGTATTTAGATTTTATTTATTTGACAGAGAGAGACACAGCGAGAGCAGGAACACAAGCAGGGGGAGAGGGAGAGGGAGAAGCAGGCTTCCCGCCGAGCAGGGAGCCCGATGTGGGGCTTGATCCCAGGACCCTGGGACCATGACCTGAGCCGAAGGCAGACGCTTAACGACTGAGCCACTCAAGCGCCCCGATGCAGTCGCTTAAGCGTCCAACTCTTGGTTTCAGCTTGGGTCGTGATCTCGGGGTCAAGAAACTGAGCCCCTCGTTGGGGTCCACGCTCAGCATTGAGTATGCCTGAGATTCTCTCTCCTCTTCTCCCCTCAGCCCCCCCCATTCTCTCTCTCTCTCTCAAATAAGTAAGTCTTAGGGGCGCCTGGGTGGCTCAGTCGCTGGGCGTCTGCCTTCGGCTCAGGTCATGATCCCAAGGTCCTGGGATCGAGCCCCATGTTGGGCTCCCCGCTCAGCGGGAAGCCTGCTTCTCCCTTTCCCACTCCCCCTGCTTGTGTTCCCTCTCTCGCTACCTCTGTGTCAAATAAATCTTTAAAATAATAATAAAAAAAAAAAGTTA